TCTGTAGAAGAAATTCCTGAACAATATAAACAAGAAACGGAAAATAGACGACGAGATTTAATTGGTATATATATTCATTTTAAAAAAAGCAAAACAGTTATGTAAAAAACAAAAACTATTTTTATTTATTTCAGAAACTATATCAGGTGTTGATGATGAACTTGGTGAAATGTTTCTTAATGAAGAAATACCTAATGAACAGCAAATTCATGTGTGTAAGAAATGTTTATAAGATATTTACTATTTGATTCTTTTTCTAAAAAGGATGCTATTCGTCGTTGTGTAATAAGTCGTAAATTTAATCCAATATTTGTTGGATCAGCTTTAAAAAATAAAGGTGTACAGCCATTACTCGATTCTGTTAATCGTTATTTACCAAATCCAGCTGAAGTTGAAAATATCGCGCTTGATGAATTAGGGTAAAAAAAAAAACAATATGTTCTAATATGAATTTCTCTTTTTTTTTTGTACGAATTATTTATATAGAAAAGAAAAAAAGACAATTAAACTTGATCCTACACGTTCATTTGCTGCACCATTTGTTGGTTTTGCATTTAAAATTGAAGTAACTATACATTTTAGAAGATAGTCTTTCTATTTAATAATAATAGAACGATTTTAATAGAAAGTATTTGTTTTTAATTATATATGCGAATTTTAGGCTGGTGGTCGAAATACAAGTGCAACACAATTAACATATGTACGTGTTTATCAAGGTGGTGTTAAACGTGGTGATACACTTTATAATATGCGTACATTAAAAAGAACACGAGTATCAAAACTTGTTCGTATGCATTCGAATAAAGCTGAAGTAAAATTAGAATTAACTTAATTTTTTTTTGTATAAGAATTTGGTCTGTTTGTTCTCCTAGGAAGTTGACGAAGCATATGCAGGAGATATATGCGCATTTTATGGTCTTGATTGTGCTACCGGTGATACTTTTGTTAATGATAAAGCATATCAAATTAGTATGGTAAGTATTTTGAATCATAAATATCGAAATGAACAGTTTCAGTTTACTAACCACCGACTCACGTACAAATATTTTCAACTGATCAGATCTTCCGTTCAGAGTCATAGATATTTTACTAGAATTTTAGCTTCTGGCATCGTATATGCCGACAAATCAAATGGCAGTATTTCGACCTGAGATAATAAAGTCTCAAAAATTAGTCATATTCTGCGGAAGATGCTATGAATTTTCTTTTTTAGGACTTTAATATCTCAAGAAGAAAACTTCATTTTGAGCTGAAATTTTCAGGATATTCAACTGAAAAACAAACATGTCTGAGAAAAAATATCAGGTCGAAAAATTGTTATTCGATTTGTCGTTATATACCATACTAGAAGCTAAAACGTAGTCAAATCTCTATGACTTTGAGTAGAAGATCTAAGACAACTTATTCTTTTGAGATTTTTCGTCTCTCATTAGAGTATGAATTATCCATGGACTCCGAATTAAAAAACCAATTGATCATTTTAATACATTCCCTCGTCAATGCTGAGTAAAGCACTGGAACAGATCGTTACTCTAAGGGTATATTTTGATAGAGTCGATGTTGCAATGGTGCAACGAATGCATGTGTCTGCGTAGCCAATACTTCAATGAACACCGATGCTAGTATTGATCAAGCAACGTTTATTAAACTTTTGTGAAAACTAGATTCAAACTGTACTTTCATACTCTCAATGAAATTTTCTAATCGGAATAGGATAGTCACTCAGAAGATACGAGATACTTTTCTTTTTCGGTTTTGTTTTGTATTCGATGGCTACCACATCGTACACATTTCTTAGATGACTAGAATCCGTAGACTTACACTAGCACTGCACATTCCTATGGAAATAAAGTATATAATAGTTTAAGATTTGTTATGTTTAGGAATCGATTTTTGTTCCTGATCCAGTTATTTCAATGTCAATAAAATGTTCATCAAGTACTGATGTAGAAAAATTTGCTGCAGCTCTTGCAAGGTGAGCTTTCTTATATAAAAACAAAAATCAATTTTCAGAGTTTATTTTATTAAAGATTTACTCGTGAAGATCCAACATTTCGTATTGTTTATGATGAAGATAACAAAGAATCAATAGCAATGGGTATGGGAGAATTACAACTTGATATTTATGCACAAGTATAAGATTTGTTTTTTTTTAATAACAATAAAAAGAAGACAATGAAGATTTTTCGTTTGTAGCGTATTCAACGAGAATATGGTGTCAAAATTGAAATGGGTAAACCCAAAGTTTCATTTCGAGAATCACTCGCTAGTCCTATTAAGTGAGAAAAATGAAAATAATTCATTTATTGATTAACTTTCATGTCTTTGCTAAAGATTCGATTATCTCCATAAGAAACAATCCGGTGGTGCTGGTCAATATGGTCGAGTAATTGGAATTCTTGAAGTAAATTTAATAAATATCATTAGAGATTCACTATAAAATTTCTTTTTAGCCTTTATCACCAGAGAAATTTGCTACCGTTGGTATGTATTAATAGATATTTATAAAAATTGTAATAAAAAAAAATTTTTTCTTCTATAGAATTTTCCGATGAAACATCTGGAACAAATGTACCATCACAATTTATACCAGCAATTAAAAAAGTTCTCCTGTTGTTAATCAATATACAAAAACTTCTATTTTTGTTGTTCTTAGGGTTTAATTCGAGCTTATGAAAAAGGTTCTCTTAGTGGAAATAAAATAAGTGGTGTTAAATTTCGTTTACAAGATGGTATAATAAACGAATTTATTTTAAAATAATATTCAATTATTTATATTTAGGTGACAATCATATTGTTGATTCGAATGAACTTGCTTTTATGTTAGCTGCTGAAGGAGCTATACGACAAAGTAAACTTTCATATTTAGATTATCTAAAATATTATTATATGTGTTGTTTTATTTAGCACAAGAATATGGTCAATGGCAAATAATTGAACCTGTTATGTTAGTTGAAATAAATGCACCAAGTGAATTTCAAAGTGCTGTACACTCATTAGTTATTAAACGTTTTGGTATTGTATCCGGTATTGAACCACGCGAAGATTGGTTTACTATGTTGGCTGAAGTAAATTTTATTTATTAAGAAAAACACAATTTTTTATTTTATCTTTCTAAAGATTCCACTTAATGATATGTTTGGTTTTTCTACTGATATTCGTTCTCATACACAAGGCAAAGGTGAATTTTCTATGGAATATGTTCGTTATTGTCCAGTACGACCAGATATATCAAATAAAATAACTCAACAATATCAAGAAAGTCTCGAAGCACCACAACAACAACGACGAAAAAATTAATTATATTTGATCCATAGAACCAAAATAAAAAATTTCTATGAATTTAATTATTTACAGTTTTCTTTTTTGTTTTGTTTGTGTTATGTTTTCTAATCTCGTTTATAGAAACGAAAACAAAGAATTAGAAGAGAAAAAAAAAAAATTTATTTTTTATGGTCTTTTTCATTTTTCCTAATGTTTTTCACTCTTAAATCGATAAAAAAATTTGTCTGAAAAAAAAGTAACGAGAAATATATATATATACTAACGTATGTGATTCTATCACGGTGTACACGCCTCCAAAATCTTCATTGCGCGTCTTTTGCTCTCGTTTTTTTCTCTTCTCTCCTTGTCACAAACACACACACACACATACATCTTCGTTCCCTTCATCATTCATGAATATACTCGACGATCGTCGTCTCTGCTTGCGGCGCATTCGACATTCATGGCTATGCGTGCTCGAGCCGAATATGTGTGTGTTGAAAAAAGGTTGTTCTCCTCGGCCGTCGTTTATTCTGGCGGCCACTCGCCGCGCCCCCCCCCCCCCCGAGCTGTCTTCTCCGCTCGCGCTTG